CACAGGAGAGAACCAGTAAACAACTCTAATCACATACTATATGATACCCTGCGGGACTTGAACCCAGTTTGCATAGCTTCGTTAAACCACTGTCGCACCAACCAAATGACAACTACAAACCCCTTATTGGATCATCTTGATTTTATGCAACCCTATGAAGGACAATTAYGAACCCCTGAATTAGAAGCTAGAAGCTTTTTTAATATTTTTCTCCTAACTACAGCCCCTTTTTTCAAGTTTGAACAACCCTTGTGAAAATCCTGGATCCATGCTTGGAAGTYACGGGTGGGACTGCAGGTTGACAAGGAGGTTTTGTAACAGGTGTATTTTGACTTTTTTGTTGATGGCATTTCTATGTGACTTATCAGACCACCTAGGGAATGATATATAAGTCCCTTAAGGATTAAGTTGCATCCGACTGTTAATGTATTCTTTTGCCATAGTAGACAATTAGGACAAGATATGCTTTAGATCTAGGAATAAAAGAATTTATTGAATTTATATTTMTTTCTTTCCGAATAATATTTATCTTTATTATTATGTAATTTGAGCACCATTTTTTAGATGAAATGCTTTAGAAATTTTAAACCTATATATTTTTGGTGATTCTATTTAAATTTCTACCTACCTTGCATTTTTTTACCTTATTTTTGTGGCTAATAAATGAATTGATACCTTAATGCCTGGAAAGACTCCAGGCAGACAACTAGACAAAACAACTTCAAAAGAATTTTTTATGCTTTTCTTATCATCGATCATCTTGTACTCCTCRTTGTATTCCATATAATAATTTGCTATATCACACAAAAAGAATTTCTGAAACCTTGTGTTTGTTATCGYGCAGATGCAAGTATGACATATCACGAATAGCATTACGAGGAGACACGATTGTCTTCAAAATTCTTAGTTTAGCGGTTACTGATGCAAGCTTGTCTTTTTTTTWAGGACTTTCTTATTTACTAGATAAGTGATGTTAAAAAGAATGTTCTTTGTATAATTTCTTCATGCTTGATTAAACATGCTTGTTTTTTCAGTTAAATGGTATTCAGTTATTATTTGCACAATTTTTAAACAAAAATAATTATTTTATTCTAGTTTAAAATTTCATTTGATATCAACCTAATATTATTCATGTGAATACCACRAAATTAATTCTGTGTCTCTGTATCACATGAAAGCCTTTCCATGTTTTCTTATTATTGCATGAATGATAGAATAGAAAGAGTTCCAAAAAGACTTTAAAATGCATCTAGATATATACTGATAGTAATTCACATCCACTCTTACTAATATAGTGTTCTGTCAGAGACCTATCATCAGTGTTCACACACTCATGTGTGTACTTAGCTTGTACAAATTATGAATACAAAACTGTTTTCTGTGTTCCTATGTACACACAGAAAAGCTATGTACACTTGTCAAAAACATCAGATCTTAAGCTTGTATGAGTTTACCCTAGTCTGAGAGGAGGATGACAGATAACTTTATTATTCAGTTGTGTGCTCTTTTGTTATTTCCTTTTTCCTGAYTATCCAATACTCTATGTCAGTTGAATGTCAAACTTTAGTGCCAGAACATTCATTGGCTCCACTAATGAAGATGTATTCTGGCTAGGCTTGCTTTATTTTTCTATGCAAAGGAGGAGGAGAGGGGTGGGGGGTGAGCTTAGCAAACAACTTAGCAATTGAAAATATTTTCTTGAGTTTTAGAAGTGTATTATTTTCTTAAAACTAAAATTCATATATGCTAGATGCATGGTCTTATATTACTTTTAAAAAATTGTACATTTCAGCCAGTAGTGAGTTACTAYAAGCATGGACATATGTCAGACACATCAATTAACACATCAAGGTATGTTGGTTGCACTCTATTTATTGTAATATAGTAAATATTATAGGACTTAAAACTATGTATATTAAGGGATTAAGAGCTGTATTGAACAAGTAAAATACTTGGCAATCTTATGTCCTTATGTCATGTTAAAGCTGAAATCTCTTATGAATATTATCTTACTGAAGTTTTGGAAAAAGTGTGTCATTTAGCTTGTGATCTGCCAGTTGCCCAGATAAGCCATGTAATAAAGTTTTAACAAATTTTTTTTAAAAGTTTATCACAGAAAGCAAAATCAAGATAAAATTTTGGTAATTGTGGTAAATAGGATAAAAAAGTCTTGCATTTTTGTTGTTGAAAATATTAAAAGTATGCCTATTAAGATAAAGAAAAAAGTGCATTATGTCACTACAGATAGATAGATAGATATCTTTATTTAATCTCGATATGTATAATGAGCTGGAGACTCATGCTAAATACATTTCTTCACAGTGGAATCACTCGACAGTTTATACAAATCATTTTCAAAAATGTTATTTTAGTTATGAATGGAGTGAATAACTATTTTTGAATGTGATTGGGAAAATTAAAATACAAAAGCTTAATCATGAAAAGAAAGGAAATTAAAACAAGAAAACAATAAGAAAAAAAAGGACAAGGAAGGGGTAAAAAGAAAGGAAAGAAATTATATTAAAGAAAACAAAAAAATTAAGAAGAATTAAAGAAAAAAATCAAAAACATTTAAAATCCTTTGCTTCATTGAATTTTTTCAACAGTAAAAATATTATTATGATGGTTTTATAACTCTCATATTATATTTTATGGTTAATTGTGGGCAGCATCTCAGTTCATAATTAGAATAAGTTTAATATTCTCCTGACAAGCTTTTCTAARAAGTGTCCAATCTGTTATTTATTGTCCTTGTAGTATTGAAGATCAGCCAGGGCCTTTTGTATTGTTTGGGGTTAACACAACAAAGAAGGTTCTTGATGAAGTGAAAACTAGACATAACAAAGGCTGTTTAAGTTCCTGTGGTATTTCTGGATCACCRGCTAAGCATATGGTTTGTATATTTTGTTGTTAGTAAAAACACTTATTGTACAAACCCATCAGACGGGTACTAATTAGGTGATTTGTATTATTTCATCTCTAAAATGCCCTTGGGCTTATTTTTTCGGTTTCAAATTATCCTCTCTCTGCTTTCTCTWCTCTAATCCCTTTCCCATTTCCTCYTATTCACTCATTCCTATCTTTAATTGCTGCTTTGTTTYATCATTTTATCTATTTCTTCATTATTTTAACTA